CGTATGTGGCATGCACGTCGACAGGCTAGACAGGTTCTGTACGTTCATGTTCGCACACTATTTCCCAGTTAGAAACACCTCACCATCTTTACGCGTTTGCATGCTTAGATTCGTAAATTTGGGAAGATCAATAAACGTAAATTTGGGAAGATCAATAAACGTTTCAAGCTAGAACAATTCTTGAAGGAGAATGTTCCCCATGCTTTGTCAAATCGCATGCACGATTGGTATCGCAACATTCGTAAATTCTGTCCTAAGCAGCCTTTTCGTAAGATATAATTGCATGATAGGTTTGGCGCCCCTCTTCTTCCGCACCAGGAACTTGCTGTCCTTGTTGATCACTTTGGCACAATGTTCCATGATGAGCATTTTGAGTTAGCACCTGCTCCGTTGAACTCCATACCATTCACTCAGGAACAGGTTGCACTGGGCCTCTCCAAACTTCCTGCTACGAAGGCACTTGCTCCGGATGGGATGCCAGGATTGATTTGGAAAGTCTTCGCACACGACATTGCAGCAGTTGTTTACCCCGCCATCGAATGTGCCTGGACTCAGTCAGGAATTCCCCCCTCACGTTGGGCCACAGGATGGCTACATCTCCTCAGTAAGCCCAATAAACCTCCCAATCATCCTGCTGCGCTTCGACCAATTTGTCTTCAGCACCCAGTCAGTAAGATACTTTCGGGCATTCATTGTGAACAAGTGTTAGAACATGCACTTCCATCCCTATGCGGGGTTCCCCTGTTTGCCTACCTACCGCACCGCGGCACACAGGACTGTCTCCTGCTGACTTCTGAACACTGTAGACAGGTCAAAGCACTGTGCCAGAATCACAAGAGTGATCCATCTAAGTCTGGACTGTGGGGTGGCCTCCAGGTCTCACTCGATCTTGAGAAGGCTTTTGATGCCATTGACCGAAACTTGGTACTTCGAGCCATACAACGATTCGAGATGAACCCAGACCTTCAACTCCTAGTTCAGTCTTGGCAACACAAACATAAGTACTGCATACCCCATAAAGATTTAATCGGACACGTTACAGCCAGCCGGGGCATAAAGCAGGGGTCCAAAGATGCCCCTTTGCTATGGACCTTGAGTATGTACCTGCTCCTCGACCACTTGATGGCCAGTTTCGATCTGCCTTGGATCATTTCCCACATTGTCATCTATGCAGACGACATTCACCTCAGGTGGCTCATTGATAGTTCGGCCTCCGGCCTGTCGGCCCTACATGATCTAACTGTGGTGCTGGGTACACTCAAGGCTTTCCATTTTAGGGTCAATCTGACCAAAAGCGTTGCCATTATGCGCCTTGTGGGAAAGTCCGCTCAGGCGTTTTTGAAACGATGGACGTCGAGACCAAAAGAAGGACCTCGTTTGCACCTGCCAGATCAATCCTTAAGCCTTCCTCTTGTCAGTAGGACTGACTATTTAGGTGTCACATTGAGCTATCGAGCATTTGATCACGACACCGTTGTTCGTAGAGTCAAAGCTGCAAATGTTTGCTTCCGTATCTTGAGGAAATGGCTCCTGGATCAGCATCATCCATTGCCAATCCGTCTTCGGTTGTATAACCAATGTGTTTTACCCACAGTCTCATATGGCATCCACGAAATGGGGATTTCAACTCGCAGTTTCCAGATGATCAATGGCATGATCACCAAACATCATAGGACCATGACCAGATCCCCTGTGCACCTCACCCGTGAAACCAACACCGCCTTCTATTCACGTATGCACATTGAACCTCCATGGTGCTATTTTGTTCGACAACAAACTCGTCTGAACGACTCCCTGAGTCAACGTCGTGAAATCCTGATCCGTGAAGCCATGCAGACTGGTCAGCAAGATATCTGCGTTTTGACCCCAGCATACCCTGACAACCAATTACAACATGAACCCACGGCTTCACCCTCGTTCACTCAGGCACCTGAACTCAAATGTCCAGAGTGTGATCGAGCTTTTCATCAGGCAGGACCCTGGAAACGTCATATGCGTACTGCACACCAGATTCCCTGCCACATCGAAGATTTGTTTGATCCCCTGCGTGATTCATATGAAGGGAAGGCCACATGTAGACACTGTTACAAGCAATTAGCTGACTTATATCGCCTTAGATATCACATCAATGCCAGAGTTTGTCTTCAGTTTGATCCGCACAAGGAGACCATCGTGCCGATTGTTGACCGCCAGTCATTGAGAATGCATTTGCGCTACAAATCCATCCCAGGTATTTTACTGGACAAAGCCCTGGTCTGTGAAATTGCACACCACTGTGTCTTTTGTCACCTTGCCGTGCCTGCTCGCTCCATTCGCAAACACTATGGAGAACGACATCAAGGTCTTTTGGTTTATGAAGCATTGCATCGCGATCAAGTGTATGGCCTTGCCAATCTAGGTAGTGGAAAAGGCACGTGTGTCTTGTGTGCTCAACAATGCAATGATGTACGCACACATCAATGTGGAGTCTTGCTTCAGATTAGCATTCTGCTTGGACAGACATATGATGTTTCGCATTTTCCTGTCATGCCCACTATGATGCGCCCGCTTCGGACCAACCGACAGTCCTCAGGTACAGGAAATGCAGACAAGCCCGAGACTCCATGGGATGCGGCCCCCCTGGCGCCTCATCCCGACACACGGCCGAGTCCGATGGAGATTGATGCCGACACCGAAGGGGCTGGTCAAATTGCTCGAACAACCCCATTGTTCAAATGTCTTGCTTGTCATACCACCTTCTTGACCGAGACAGGACTGATCACTCATCATCAAAAGCATCCGAAGCATGCTCAGATTGATCGTCCGCTTGACCAGTCCACCACTGCCCCATCGGGATCCGAACCTCGCCCTGCCAAGGTCACAGTGAAATTGATGCTCGCTTCTCATCCAGATGGACCCTGCCCGGAGCCAGCTAAGATGTATAGATGCCCATTGTGTCAAGACTACGTAGGCCGTAAAGCCCTCATCAGCCATCTCCGGAAGTATCATGATGTCCACAGGCCTGATGGTTTTCCCTTCGATCCGGTCCAGGACATGCATAGGGGTCATCTAGCATGCAAGCATTGTCACACCCAGTTCACTATGGAAGTGGCCTTGCGCACCCATTTCCAACGTGCATCATGTCCGGTCTTGCTTTGCAATTGGACCAGTCATCAGCATTTTGGTGCCCCGAGCATGCCATCAGACAACATGGATCTTGAGGAGCCCATTTCAGATTCAGATCAGGTTCGTTTGCCGTGGCATTTAGGCCTCCTGCGCCCAGAGGAACTGCACA